GCTGAGAAGCACACGTGTTTCACAGTGCTGGTCTTTTGTAATTATTTAATATAAAAATTGAAATGCCCAAAACGCAGCCCATGGACACCCATATTAGTGGGTGCACCCGACCCTCACCGGGAGTATATTCCACATTTCGCAAGTTTGCTAAGGAAAAAGTCTTGTGAAGCGGAGCGTGGAAGACTTCCAGTTTTCAGAACCCTTCCATTTATATTATGTATAATAAAAGTATAAATCATGAAATTTCGATGCATTATATATAGAATAATCTAGGCTTATGTCTAATCTAGAATGTAGCAATTTGACAAATGATGTCACTTATCATCAGATGAGCCCACTCTAATATATTTTTTTAATGTTAATTCTCCGGTGACCCCAGCTGGTGTTTTCGTCGCTCGACGATAAAGCATCGCAATGCAGCGAGGAAATGCCAGCATTAAAGGTACACTGCCACAGGGAGCAAACTTTTAAATTTGTTTTACTTTCTAATTATAAGTTTTTAATTATTATTACTATGTAGGTTCAGCATATTTTAAATACTGTATATTTGTGTGTTGGAATTAAATATAGCTGTTTAGTTATTCCCCTGATTTTTGTTTTCAGCAATATTTTTAAGTAATATACAGTTTAGCAGTTAATTTTTATTTGTAATAATTGTAGTTCTGTGATAGCAATTGCGTAAGCTTTTGATCTCCATCCAAAGCGGATATACAGAGGTTGAAGTGGCATTCGAGTCCATTGAATCAGATAATTACTGAGGGCTATTAAGGGCTCATTGATGCTCTCATATTATTTTTCCTTCACATATACCACCACATATAGCATATGTACGCTCTACTAAATGTATCTTAACATACATCCGTCGGATAACGGATTTAACATTACTTTAGATGAAACTATCATTTTCTTAACTACCGTACTTTGTGTATCATGCTTTTAATGAGGTTTTAGGTTCTATTTAGTTTGAGTTATTTTTTTTGCAAGAAAAAGAAATGTTTCACGCAAATAACAAATCATTAATAGAATAATACTACTTATTTTAAAAGTAGTACATTAAGTCGATTTTTTAAAAACTAGTACATATATACTATCTTTTAATTAATAAATAAGTTAAGGTATTTTGTGGTGGCTTGTTTCATTTTTGTCTTACTCTAGTGTGAAATTTTATGTTTTATTATAATTGTTGTGTATGTGTATCATATTTACTGGTATATTTTAAGCATACTGTTTTACGACTTATAAATATTATTGCCCCTTTTTTTATTTATTTATTGTACACAAACAAAACGAACTTTTCAATAGTGTTATGAAGATAGTTAACTGAAGACAGTTGCTCGGCCCACCAGGAATAATATAATAGGAACAAGGGTTTGTTTTATTATTAAGCCTTCTACCGAAATGTTGCTGGATATGGAACCCAGAAACGAATCCGGCACAGAATTACACCCATACTTCAGGTATTACCAACGTAAATAAATTTTTATTATAGAAAAGGGGGCAAATGGGCAGGAGGCTCATCTGATGTCAAGTGATATGGAAACTCTCAATGCCAGAGGTCTTGCGAGTGCATTGCCGACCTTATGAGAATTGTTATGCTATTTTTTTTAAAGACCCTAAGTCGAATTGGTTCGGAAATACTCTTGTTTTATTATTAATTAAACAAACTTTGGGAGGAAGGTGCACTGCTTCTCTGACCCTCGACAAGTCGAACCACTAACTGTCCTAAATCTACCTCAGGAACTGTTCAATCCGAGAACTAACGTTGGCGCGTTGACAATATTGGGAGAGTATTTGCTTTGCTCTTGTTAGAACCGCCATTGGGAGGTGACAATGTAAAACAAAAGAGAAACGGCGTCTCTCGTCTCTCTCTAGAGCATCTCTAGTCAACGTCAACATGCGATACTTTAATACTTCATGGTATTACGACCACTGGTCTTTCCAATTCATAATTTTTAGATGTCATTTGATGATTAAATATAACTTCTCAGACTCCTGTTGAGCCGTTGCAGCAAAAGCAACTATAGACTTGGTGTTTCGGAGTTCATACGAATGAAACAAGAACATTACATCAAGTGTTTAATGTAAATCAAAAAATAATTAGTCCTTAAGTACATATAATTATTATATGTGTTAGGGTAACAGATTAATACTTAAGATTCTGTTTGTGACTTAAATCTTCAATCTCTTTCTCGTGCCAACAAAATCCGTCTACAGTCTACTAGCTATAATGTTATTTAAAGCACACATCTCTTTCCAACACAGCATAAACACAACTTCAGAGAGAAAGAATGCATACTTAAAACATGTAGTTGTGTACACTGATTTAGTTGTGAGTAAAGTAATTTTAATAGCTTATCGAAAAAACAAATTAATTGTTATGGCGCGTCTAAACGGGCCATGTTTTGCTGCAATTGATGGCTGCACTGTTGGCCACTAATTGCCAGGCCATTACAAAAATATTTTAATGCAGCTGATGGCCGAACAATCTATGGCTGGGCAATGTGTTGCAATATGTCTGCAATAGTATGGCCCATGATGCAGACTCCTAAACGGGCTACACAAACCGGCAACAATGGCTAACGAAATCACACTTGTCGCAGCAGCTTATATTGTTTTAAAAAAGAAAAGAAGAGATTGTGGATTCGACCTTACTTAAATAGGCGTGAAACTGTAGACAATTTGAGTCTAGAAATATGCCTTGATAATAAATTATTCAAGAACTTTACTAAAATGTCAAAAGCAGTCATTTTAAGTAGTAACCTAACGTCAAAATGCAGCTGATCGCAAAACACAGAATATAGCAACAGGCACACTTCACTCATTGCAAACATCATGTCGCGTAGAAAAGGATACACTGTGCCATAACAAAGAGAGTGACTGAAACAACAATAGAAATCGTCCGGCCACCCATCGGGGCAACATCGGCCATATGTGGCTATACAAAACATATTTGGCTATATGGCCGAGACATTACTGCAATATTGCATAGTGTGGCTGCTATTGTTTGCAATGTTGCCGGCCACAGTGTTGCAGCCATCAATTGCAGCAAAACATGGCCCGTTTAGAAGCGCCATTACTAAAATACTGAGATTATCGAATTAGTAAGAATAATAAAAAATTATAAGACACACAAAATACTTTTAAATTTTACACCAATATCTTTTCGATAATGACTAACTGAATTTGCGAATGGCACACATTTTATAAATACGATCAATTTAAACGTAGGCGAATTACGCTATTTTAATATTAATAAATTTAAATTATGTTTGCTACCATACCTACATATGGACTGTTTACAGAATTATTATTAGTACTATATTTTTAATTATCCATTATCGACATTTTCGTTCAAAAAATATACCTTAGTAAGTATTGTTAATTCTAGATTTGTAGATATGTTACCAGGTTACTAAATGCGTAATTATTATTTATGTAGATCTTATTATATGTATTATATACATAAAATAATTATATACATGTAATAAAATATAACATTTATAGATTTTTATGTTTTCAAAGGAGCCATTTCAGGGGCTGATGGTACAGGAGTGACGGTTTCTGATGTAGACAGAGGTTGGAATTTCCTGGGCTCCAACAGGCCTTTCTTCGAGGCTACCATCAGCAACAATACTGCTGATATGGAGAACGAAACCAGCTGCAAAAAAGAATAAACACTTATTTCTAAATACACTTCGAATTTAAATTGCAACATTTATTTACAATCCAATTATAATGATGAATTTGATACTAATCACTTATTCAAACAATATTTACCAACAATAATCAGAGTTTACTTAGCTTGTCATAATTTGAAACTCATGCGCATACAATAAAAGTACGTAGGTGCAATTATTAGGTCATAATAACCTGTTAAGTATTTATTGTTATGTTGTAATTATTGTTTCTAGCAAGAATAAATTAAACTTTTCCCAACTATTTTTAGCCTGTTGGTAGTTATTTAAATATTTATTTATAAAATCAATTAAAACATACCGCAGACACACCAAACGTCGCTAAAACTTCGTACGATAAAAACATCGTGTAGAAACAAAACAAACAAAAATCACTAATGTGTTCTATTTACACCTCAATACAATAAAACCGATTTACAAGAGAACAGTTTTACTAAGATGGTAATTGAAATAGCAATTAGTTTCACGTTTAAAATAAAAAGTAACTTGTAATGTAAACCACGAAGACGAAAACTAAAAACTTTGTCTTGCGTTACGACAGCTGCGAGCTCAATGTCACATGCGAAGTGCGGCAACGTCGCACGGTCAACGCAGTGACAGGTAAAATATGTCGCGCACGGCACAGGTAGACCATAGCCAATGAACCCATAAACTAAAGAGTTGGGTGGCATAGTGTTTTGGGTGGCTTCATTTGTCCGTTGAAATTTGACCTTGTTTGATAGTTTTGCAATTATGATAATTTGCTAATATCGGGATAATAGCAAGAGAACACGCGATATTATTCGTTTAATTACAAACTATACTTTGCTAGTCAAAAGTGGTAGGCGTTTTAAGTATATTTTTGATCTTCTTTAGCAAGTGATTTATATAAAATTGCAGATATACAAAATTATATACGTTTTATATCCAACTGAGTAATTTTTAGAATATAAAAACACATATTCTTGCAGTATTTAGTGCATTCGAAACTTATATACTTTAATGTAAAATGAACTACGTACAAAAAAAGGTAGAGGCTTCGATATACAAAATATAAGATAACCATTACAGTCATACAAAGATTTACAAAGTATAGTATAATTGTTAGTTATTACTACTGTGGTGAATTTGAAACTAAGATAAAGTTTGTACTATATTATAATAATTATTAATACAATAGAGAAAAAAACCATTATGTCGGTATAATCTGTATATTATGACTTCTAATCTTTGGCATTTCTCTTTATTGGTGTGTAATATATTTTTTTTACAATATTTACGATGTAGGTAGGTACTAGGTACGATTAAAAGTAGTTACTCAAACCATTAATTTATTCTTTCTTTATAAAATAACATGGAAAGTCTCGCTGCAGTTGCAATACCCATCCAAGTTTCTTCATTTATTTGAGGAAGATATTTTGGTGGAACAAGGAAACCATATTTTTGAAAATCAGGCAATTCCAGTGTTAACGAAAATGGTACACCGATGTCCTGAAAAATAACCTGTATCATTACTTGAATTTTTGTATTTAATAGGTATAATTATTTAATAATACATATATGCAAATAAATACGCCTTTTTAAATTGTCTCAGCTTCCAGCGACCAGCTTTAAATGTTTAATAACGTTTAGTAACCTAACCTAATAGATATTGTTGTATTATCTGTATTTGCTTCCTCGAAGTTGGTATCGACTAAAAGATGGAGGGTTTTGGCAGAAATGGCTCACGGTGTCCTCTATTTCGCGGATTGTTTGTCTTGAGATTTAAATTTGGATATTATTGGATCCCAGGTGTTTGAATTTTAGGCCGTCTTCTCTATTGAAGTTGGGGTGTTTTTTGATTTCAATGGCTACGCGTACCAATCTTGGGAAGAATCTTTTTTCTTTCGCAAGTACTTTCGGTTGGCATTCAACTAATAGATATTATTATTAATAAGTTAAAAAAATGGTACGAGAATTTGTGTTACAGCCTTATAATTTCCCTTGAAGAATTACCCTAGAATAAATTGTATGACGTAATGCATACATCTATGGCGGAACAAATCTTTCTAGACAAATAGTATCCTCACATGTAGTCGATTTTTAGTTACATTTTAATCTGGGTTACTGAGGCTGTTTATCATACAAAAGCACTAGTAACTAATCTAACTCGGCCCACTTATGTGCTACCTGTATCTTCTATTAGTACTTGTAGTCGTACATTTACTAGAAACGAAAGTATAATATGAAATTCACTTTCAATAGAGACATCTACAGTTTTAGCAACTACTGATATTTTGGGTATAGAACATGCGTTAATGTTTGCTCGCTACTAAATATTATATGTACATTGTACAATTATATTTATCATATTATTATTATAATACTATGCATTATATATTATTTTATCTTCCTAGGCGTGTATTTCTCTTATAAGAAAAACAAGCAAAAGTGCCAATCAAAAGTTTACCGCTTTAATCGCTAAGAAATATGACATATTCTGGGTTCGATTTCCAGAAAATCAACAATTAACTCGCATTGATGTACTGAACACATACTTATGCTGAAAATATATAAATGAATTTCAGAACATATAAATGAGTTATTCAAACATTAAGAGATCTAACCTGCGCATAATCCTGCGATGTCCCCGAAGCCGGATACAAAACAAAATAACTGTTACCAACATGATAATGATACGCTTCAGGTAGTTTCTTGGTATCAATTTGAGCACCAATGCTTGCACCGACCTGATGTATGCGCGCCACATTAGCCGGCAAAGTGGCGTTATCGAAGCCATAAAGCACGTAGCTTCCATAACTATGAATATTCATGTAAATTTGAATACGGTCCAGATATGTATGGAGTATATCTCTAATATTCTGGGTTTCTATTTCGGAAAACGGATAACGGCCGCTGAACGACTCGGCGCATGGATCTTGGGAGGCGTTGGACTCGCCGAAGAATATGTCATAGTTTCTGTTTAGATCGACACCGCTGCAATTGGAGACGCTCGCGTTCAATGATCGGTTTTTGCGCCACATTCGCTCCTGTAATTATAATATAATAAGCGCACATTTTTATACTTTATGGCTGAATGAATATATTTATTAATATTTAATTGCACTTTGAATACATAGGGAAACTTAAAAATATTGTGACATACTCCAAAGGTTTTTTAAGAAAATAAGACGATTTTGATAAAATTAGAGAGCCAAGGTTACGTCGTGTGTATTATTGAAATTAATTAGCGGTATTTAGCATTAACTTATGAGTATTATTTAGTAATAAGCCACCAGATGGAGGGGACCTCCAGGAAAAGGAAACGTGGGAAGACCACTAAAGCGATGGGCAAACGACATCGGAAAGGTTACTGGGGAGAAATGGATGGAGGAAGCAAAGAATAGATCCAAATGGAAAGTTAAGGGGGAGGCCTTTATCCAAAAGGGAATACCAAAGATCACGATGTAATGGAAATAATAATTACTAATATAGACTTAGTGTATAATAAAAAAAACCCATTTGATATGTATTTTTTTAATGTATGGAAATTAAAGTGGTTTTATTATTATTTATTTATTTTATCAGTAACTTGGTCAAATAGATATATTAATAGTAAACATTTAAACAAGTTCACCGAAGCTTGGTTAAAAAATGCTTCCTTAAGTCAGTTGTTAACTAACAGAGCGTATTTATAGGTTATTTATTTATAGATTAGTACGTAAATAATCCTCTTTTTTACACAATTATTATGAATACATCATTATATAGGCAAGCTGTGTTGGCCAAGTGGCTTAAGCGTGCGACTCTCATCCCTGAGGTCGTAGGTTTGAGCCCCAACCGTACACTAATGAAATTTCTTTCTATTTGCGCATTTAACATTCGCTCGAACGGTGAAGGAAAACATCGTGAGGAAACCGGCTTGCCTCAGACCCAAAAAGTCGACGGCGTGCGTCAGGTACAGGAGGTCACCTACTTGCCGACTACATTAACAAATGATCATGAAACAGATACAGAAATCTGAGGCCCAGACCTGAAGAGGCTGAAGTGCCACTGATTTTATTTTGTTATACATTCTTATGCAGTTTTATACACAGCTGTCTACTTACATCTGTATGTGTGAACTCATAGCCGTCTGGATTTTGAACTGGTAGTATAATCCAGTCAACATTCTGTAGAAGATCCCTGTCTTCATTCCGTAACTCTTCCACCAGCCTGTGCATGGTGTAGAGAGCCACTGGAGGGGTCGACCACTCTCTGGAGTGCATCGCTGCGTCCATGAAGTATATTGGCTTAGTTTGATCCTCGAACTTCGTTGTAGATATCTTTAAAACATAATGGACTTAGGGATACCATATCTAATTACTATTCTAGGCGCGAATCTCTGAGGTCGTGTTTCCCGAACTAATTACTTTGTCTATCTATGTACGCATGAAACAATCAGCTAGTCTAAAACCCACATTAACGGTGCGTCAGGCACAAGTTATCTACTTAACTATTAAGAAAAATTTATGAAGAAAACAGATGCATAACTCTGAAGGATGTAGCGCAAACACGCACACCGCAAAACAAAGTGCAAACAAAATAAAAAATTACAACTGAAAGCTAACCTTAAGAGTCACGATGCTAGGTTCTTAAATACATAAAAATTATATATTTACAATTACAAAAAAAAAAATAATATATTAATAATTACAAAAAACATCGATTAAACAGATGGAAAGCATATGGTTAAGAGGTGTTTATATAGAAGAGTTGAACGAGACAAGAATTAATTTTGAAGACATTTCCAATATCTTAATATATATATAAACTAGATTAGACTGCGAACTTCGTTTCTCCTTAATGCCTAGCCTATCTTTTTTGTACATACCAACATGGAGCATTTTGCTATGCTACCCCAGAGGCTGTTCGGTTTTCCGGAATGAAAACTTTTTAGGTTTTTTGTGATTTTTCTCTATACTATAAACATCAAGAGTTCAAGTTTTAAGTTCTTAACTAACAAATAAAAAATAAGGGTTAATCGTAGAGGGTAGATGAAAATTAAGGGTTGTATGTATTTTAGATGCTGAATCATAAAAAAAATAAAAGCAAAAAATTTGGTCTAAAAAATTAAAAAAACTGTTTTGGGGTGGACACCCCTTATCACTTAGGGGTTTGAGAGATTGATTCTCAGACTTACTGAATATGCATACAAAATTTCATAAGAATCGGTCGATTCGTTTCGGAGGAGTATGGAAATGAACATTGTGACACGAGAATTTTATATATTACGAGTAGATAGAGATTACGCGTTACGTTGTTTGTCCGCTATGGACTCCTAAACTACTTAACCGACTAACTTAAAAGATAGGATACCTTACTTAATATATATAATTCTACTGTATGTGTGTATGTCACTGAACTCCTCTTCAACGGCTGGACCGATTTAAGTTATTTTTTGTATGCGTTTGGGTGGAACCCTGGACGGTTTAGATTCACAAATCAGCCCGTCAGATGGCGCTGCAAACAACGTCTGTGGGGTCCGCTAGTATATATATATATATATATAGGGACTATTCCTTGACTTGGAAATTAAGGAAGAGTATATCTAAAGCCTTATTTTTGTAGAAATACGTACCTTCAGATAATTAACAGATCGGCCTTCGAAAGTCTGACCAGCTGTTACTAATGTCACGATATCAGGATAATCACGTGATAATCTTTCCATGTACGCATTGATCTGTAAGGTCATAATTAATTTGAGAAACCAAAATATTAGCTATACTTTTGTTTCTGCATATTTAAGGTGAGTTTCGGAAATTTTCTTTATATACACATAGCGCCATGTCTTACCAAATAGTTAACTTTTTTTTAAATGAACTAATTATTACCAGAAAGATTGATTTAATTGATAGCATAATAGTGTCGTGGGTGAGTATTTAGATCATAATTAATCAACAATTATAAATAACTTAGAAGGTAGATAGACCAAATTATGGAAACAGTCAAAAAGTCAAACATGGCAGAGAGTTAAACCTAGGATACCTTAAAAAAAATTAGATAGTGTTTAAGTGTAGTGTTGGCCTAGTGGCTTCAGCGTGTAACTCTCAAATGTGACCCTGTGGTCGTAGATTCGATCCCCGACTGTGCACCAAATGACTTTCTTTCTATGTGAGCTTTCATCCCCTTGAGCGGTGAAGGAAAACATCGCGAGGAAACCGACTTAGACCCTAAAACTCAACGGTGTAGTCAGGCACAGAAGGCCGATCGCCTACTTGCCTAGATTGCCAAATGATCATGAAACAGATACAGAAATCTGAGGCCCAGACCTAAAAACGTTGTAGCGCCACTGATTTATTTATTAAGTGTGAAAGTAATTTAATGACATTATCATAATTAACTGATTGTGCGATTTATAATTAGCCAATCTGAAAGTATTACTTTCTTTGCAAATAAACGATTTATTTATTAACCTGTGTTTGTACCGGCTAATCTCAAGGGCAATAACCAAGAAGGCGACAGTGCTACAGATATTCCGGAACTGCATCGAAATAGCATACAAATACAGTACTAAATTCCTGGCTTACCTCGACCATCCGCGCATAAAGCCGGGTCCACATTTGTAGCATTTCGGTGTATCGATCTCCGTTGCGTGGCTTCGGCGCGTATCATGATCGTTGAGTTTGGACGCAAAATGATACCCGTTTATGATACATGCCGTATCGGAACGGCCCGATCCGCACTAAGCGCGTATCTTGATACACCTCGTATCCGATACGCGTATCACGATCGGTGGTATGGACGTATTTTGATACTGTATCACGATACTGTATCGCGATACGATACTTGATACACCGCGAACCATCCTGTGTCGGTTTTTTCGCGATCATCAAAGGGAATACACAACATCAATGGGTGACATGCGAGTGAAATTTTTGTATTTTCGCTGGTATACTGAAATTTTAAATCTCGCATCAATGGTATTCCACCATGTTTGTTTCGGTTTCTAAACACTTCCAGCGCCGTCTACGTCTAGATTTAACTTTTTTTAAATACTATTAATGATAATATAACAGGCGCTAGTCACCGCCAAACTGTGAGCAATTGCTGACATGGTTAAACCGTTTGGGAACGAAGACATGACTGAACATTGCGAGAAGGGAAAGGTGCACTGAAAGACACGCGCATCATGATACATGGAAGAAAAGTGAAGCGATATTTGTAAAGTTAAAGCCGATACACTGACATGATAAGCATTTGATAAGTATGGACGCGTTTTTTACAAGATACGCCTTAAATATACGACATGGACAAAATGAGCGTCCATATTTATGAATAAGATACTAGATACGATAGACTGATGTGTAGCAATGGACCCGGCTTAATATGTAAATGGTGTGCCCTACGTTGCGTCTTTGATTCCAAAGATTACATTCTTTTTCGAATTCACCTAATGCGCTGGAACAGCAGTTTTTAATCTTTTAAATAACGTGAAAGTGTTTAGGATTAAAATAGATTAAAAAGAGTGGCGGAGAGTTTCTTGGCAGTTCTTCTTGGCCGCTTTACGCCCTTGACTTGCGAACTGGTAGTCAATGTAAATTTTGATTCAATTTAATATATTTTCTGTTGACGTAATAAGTGTACTTGTTTATCTATATGAATTATTTGAGTAGTTTATTATTTGAGTTTGAGTTAGGCAATTTAAGCGTCGACTTTTTTCTTGAACCAAAACCCTACTGACTTACGCAGTAACTCTTTTTCATACTTTTTATAGAACTCGGAGTAAACGGGCAGGATGCTAACCTGACATTTAGACACTTGCAACGCCGGATGCTATCAGGTGTGTTGCCGACCTTACAAGAATGACCAGCGCTGTGGAACACATCTGCTCCACAGCATAAGTTACAACCACAACACACACACATTACACAGCTAAAATGTACCTTATTCCTCTTTTTGGAGTTTACTCCTTAAGAAACGATTTGAGTTATAAGGCCCGGTACGGAAATTTTATGAGGAGTAAAATCAAGTGTAACACGAAAAGTTGAGGCGTTATGTGACACACGAAAAGTTGAGGCGTTATGTAGAAAGAGACAAATGGATTGAACGTGTAAAAAAATGAGATGGAATACATTACACAGACTTTTCTATTTTGAATTCACGTTTTGACAGCCACGTTACAACATTGTCAGTGTTGACAGGTGTAAAAAATAAAAGTAGATTGTCTAGCGTGCCATAGAGTTTTGTCAATAGTAATGGTCAGTGAAATTAAAACTAAAAAGATTGTTCATTCTTATTCTTCTCTTACTATAAAGGTAACTTTGGTCAAGCCAAGTCTTTACTCAGAAAGAAAATCCTATTTGGGCATAGATGATGTAGGTACGTTTTATTACTACTACAAACATTTGTATTATAAAAACATATATTCTTACCACCTTTAGTATGAAAATATGGTCGACAGCCACAGAACATTATCGCCATTTTATTTTTTGTGACGTTCAAACCAATCGTGCATTTTAGATGGAATTGATTTTCTTTCTTATTTGATTATTACTTTGTGTGTTTCTGTGTGTATATGTCTATTCACAAATCGGCGTAAAAAAAAAATATATTTACCTTAAGATGTTCTCTCTTATTCTATACTCTATTCCATTGTTAAGCAAAGCTTTTGTAAATGAAGCCTGATATTCCGGTGGAACCATTACTGCTGCATCGCGAGTTGGATTGCCTAATTTCCAGATGTCCAGATGGAAGTCATCTTTAATAGCATCTAGTAAGGCGTTGTCTTTCCGATCACGAATAGCAACGTTGTATACCGTGTATCTAGGGAAATTATTTATAATTTAGATCATAATATATACCCCACTAAGTTCCTTGTTCACACTAGACTAAGTCAAGTTCTTGAACATTTTTGTAAACTTATTTCCTTAAAACAGAAACTAAATAGGTATGTTTTAATTATAATATTAAATAATTCTTATTTCACTACTATCTGAAGTCTTGCGGAGGTGGTGAGCAAAAGTGATCTCCAAGAATCTAGAAGATAAGTGCCACGGCGAAGGCCAGGTTGGTTTAAGATACCAAGGGCCAGAACCAGTCTGTTGCACAGATCCCCACCAGTTAACAAAGACGCTGCCTAATTAATGCTGTCTCCAACTATGAACATCATATGTTCGCAGAGTGAGTTCACAGTAGCGATATTATGTATCATATGTACTTTATGTTTTTCGATATTATCGTATTAGCTTAGTACTGTAATACAAGGAATAGTAATATAAGGATTATCCTTATATTAGTAATAAGGATAATATATGTATTTTTGTGAATAAAGTATTATATTTGAAAATTTACGTACATACGTAAGTTTAACTAGATTTTATAATGATTTTAGAGTGTCACTTACACAATCTTCTTAATTCAATTTGATTAAATAAAATGTATTATTTGTGAGCCTCATACATCGATTATATTATATACACTGATAAAAAATTTATTCAATTATATAAATTAAAATAAAATTAAAATTAAGATAATTGATATATATATACTATCTAATAGACTTGCATTCCTTAATTAGGATAAATATTTTAAATAATAATTGCAAAAGTATGAGCTCTGAACTATATGCAGCGGGGGCAAATGTATTAAACTAAATTATAAAAAAATAAAACAGCCAATGGGTGGAGTACCTAATTGCATTTTAGAATATAAACACATACTAATTCAAATTAAAGAAATTTGTAAATATTGAAGCACTAGGATCTAATTTTACTATATATCAAGAAGCTTTAATGATAATAGAACTCACCCATTATATTTATCATGTTTTGCCAAAGAATGGGCAATTAAAAGAAATGAGACCAATATCTTAAAGTCCATGCCCTCTGCACTTTCAAAAATCACTGCAGGTATAATTAATGTCGTATCTTATCATAATCTTGAGAAATTCTAGATTTCGCTTGTAATTAACATAATTGAGATAAAATATTATTGAGGTCACAAAAACAATTAATAATAATTTCTATTACCTAAATACAATAATCTACATGGGAAAAAAACATTAGAGTATCTTATTCCAAATTTAATAAACTCACTGCCAGCTGTACTTCTTACTAATATTACAACAAACAATATTAAATTTAAATTAAAAAATTATTACATAAATCAAACAATTATAAATTATGCATAACAAACATTATGCTAATCAGACATCATCTTCATTTAATTCTTATTCGAATATAGGAATATAGGAATACATCCTGTATTCGAATGAGAATTCTCGTCAAGAACAGGTTCAATGTTTCAATTGGTTTGTGACGCTTTACGTAAAATTTCAATGGTTTAATGTTATAGAGTATATGTCACTAGCCTTAGGGTGGGTTGTTTCAAACCATTTGCTATCGTAACTTACGTTCGTTAAAATTTGACAGACACGTATGAACTTTAACGTCTGTTAACTTGTTAGCGTTGCTTCATTGTTAAAAAATGGTTCGTCATTGTTAATGGGGTTGCCTGTTTGCGTAACGCTATTTTGACCTAATGTTTTATGGGAATATTTTTAGTAATAACAACATTGATAAAAACAATGTCATTTGATACATTCTGTCAAGTTTGACATCAATGTTTATTGTTGTGTACGAAAGGATAATTTTAAAAAGTGTTTAATTTTAATATAAATAATGGGAACCTTTTCGCCAAAGTAAGTATAAAGCTATTATTTTATTATTATATTGCATGAATTGTATATGCGCAAAATATATATATTATATTGAAGGATATAGTTAGAAGTGTATTTATTTACGTTACTCATTGACTTTCAGAGAACGTTCGGTAAATTTTGGAAAAGAAGAGAAGGACAGATTTAGAAATTTAATAGAAAAACATAAACACATCTTATTTAATAAAAAGACAGACATTTCTAACAATTTGCAAAAAAGAGGGCATGGAGTGCGATTCATGCAGAATTTAATGCCCTTTCAGATAATAAATATGAAAAAGAAAATTTTTGAGTTGCGTGTTCAACATCTAAATGAGAAGAGGAAGAACGATGAAATCATTTTTAAACTACAAGAAAAAAAAATTACTTACTATTAATTATACTAAAAGGATGTAAGATTGTATGAAAGCGCCATTTCTAATGTAAAATGTATGAAAAGTGGCACTTATTTACCTTTACAATAAAAAATAAACTTACTATAACTTGATTAGAATTACTTGAAACTTAGTATAAAATGCTCTTCAAAATAATTAAGCAGTTGTGTGTATCAATGTTATAAAATTAGTGTAAAAATAATAAAAACTGTAAAAAAATAGATTTTTAAGATGAATTAATTCTTATGTGCATAGGCAGGCATAACTATGTAATGTTTTAATTCGGTAATAAAAAGGCATATTATTTTTGTCAAACATTTTATTTCTCCACCAAAAGCATGCAATAGCAATATATTATGTTAAACCTTCACCATATTTCACATCCATACCATAAAATAGTTATAATCTGAAAATAAGACAGCTTTAAAATTATAATTTGAGATTTGTTTTCTTTGAAGTTAAAAATAATCTAAATATTAACATACCTTGCAAAATAATAATAATTAAACTATGTATATCACATATTAGTATTAAATTAAATTAAGAGAAAACTAGTTTTCTGTTTGTTGTCAATGAAGTTAACTTTTGGTCTAAATTAATAAAATCTGTAGGCTGTAATTCAGTTAGTAAAGGCATATTATTTTTGACAAATATTTTATTTCTTTACCAAAGGCATGCAATAAGCAATATAAACAGTATATAATATCTTAGTCCTTCACCATACCACCCATACACCCATGCCATAAAAAGATATAATCTGAAATATAGGACATCTTTAATATTAAATTTGCAATTTATTTTTTTGAAGTCAAAAATAATCGTAGTATTAACATACCTTGCAAAATAATTATTAATCAAACCATCTCTAATATTAAATTCAGAGGAAACAGAGTTTACGAAGTACGAACTACGAAGTTACAAACCAAAATTTGACGATTACCAATGGTTCAAGCACTGGTTAACGTAAGCGTAACTTTTAACGAACGTAAGCTGTCATGGATGGTGAATCAACACTTTTTTTGTCTAACGTTCGTTAGCGCCATATTTAACGGTTACGTGTCCGTCAAAATTTGTTGATGCAACCCACCCTTAGTATATAAGTTAGTTATTTAAATATGTTCGAGGTCCTGGTGGACAGAAAAACTGTGTCCAGTTTATGTTTCCACCACACCAACTTATTTTCTATTTAAGATCATGTATATGTAACGAATAAATAATACGTTAAATTGTAAGCAGTTCGTTGAGGTTCACAATCTTTCGACAGTTTACAATCTCGCGAGATAGATTACAATCTAACGGTGTTTACAATTTTACGGTGACATATATAACAAATAAATAAAATAAAGTACGAAAAACAAAACACCTTTAGATGCAAAAAATATATAAAACCCGGAAGTCTTTGACATTAAAGACCACCTTCCACCTGTTCCACTACTGAGCGTTTCTTAAGGCAGTTTTTGCCGCGCACCGCCTACGTGGAACCGGCTGCTACGAATCGAACCAATTCAAGAAAATACCGATTCTTAAAGGCCGGCATTCTTGCGAGCCTTCTGGCTATGTCAGTGTGAGTGCCATGGGCGGCGGTAACAGTTAACATCATGTGAGCCTCCTGCCCGTTTGCGTTTATAGGGTTGATAAAAATATAAATAACAAAATAATAAATTATTAAAATTTATTAAATATAAATTAATTTAATCTATGGCGATAGAACTGATAACTCATTCTAGCTGACTCAGCGATTCCGGCGTATGTCTCCCCGTTTATTTGTGGAATGTATTCCGCTGGTACCAGAAAACCATATTTATTATAATCTGGCAATTCCAAAGTGTACGAAAAGGGTATTCCAATGTTCTGAAAAACATTAAAATGTATTCATTAATCATGATGCTCGAATAACACTCATTAATTGAATTACAATTGATTAAGCTCATTATTTTTATTGTTGTTTGAATTACAAGTAACTTTGAATTGTTAGAATCAAACAAATTTTCGTGATGGATCGTCAGATGTTTATATAGAATGTTTACTATATGTCAATATAGTAAACATTAGAGGGCAGCCATATCAAAATAATATAATCATGTTAGTTTTTTTTGTCATAACTTCTTAAATTCATATTCTGTTATTATAGAAATTGGCATACAAGCAAACAAAAGGGTTTGTTTTAAAACAAAATAAAAATAATAACATTAAATTACACAGTTTTCTAGAAAAATGCTTGTTGCTTGCATTTAATTTTTTTTTATGTAGCTGTAATATTTAGTCAATGTAGTATCCAAATATGATAAAAAGTGAATTTTGGATTTTTTTCAAATCCGGCCTTGTTCCACGATCATGACGATTAATTCCGTACAATAACACTAGTGGACATAATTATTGAATGGACTCAAACATTTTAATAACTTATTTAAGTTACCCTGGAGGTCCTGAATTAGATTCAATGAATTATTTTGATGGTAAACTTCAGTACACACGTCGCGAATTTTTTGGGTTAAATACATGACGGTTTATGCCGTATGTTCCTTCAAACAATAGTTGATAGCGCAAATAAAATCCATTGCAGCGATTCAAACACACAACTTTTGGGTTGCACGCTAGGCACAGCTCCATTTAGAACATCAGATTACCTGAGCATAATCCTGCGCAGTGCCAGAGGCTGCATACAATACGAATGCACTGTTGCCAACACTGTAGTACCTTGCTTCTGGCAATTTCTTTGCATCTATATGTGCACCCATAGCTGCTGCAACGTGGTGCAGCTGTGCAGCATTAGATGGCAGCGTCTCATTATCAAAACCATAAAGAACATAGCTTCCATATGTGTGTATGTTCATGTAAATTTGAGTTCTATCTAGATACTGATAGAACATGTCTCTAACGTGCTGTGTTTCGATTTCGGAGTTGGCATACGGTCCAGGGTAGATGTCGGAGCATGGGTTTGATGAAACGCTGATTTGACCGAAGAAAATGTCGAAGTTTCTATTCAGATCGGCGCCGTAACATTCTGCGCTGATTGATGCATTGTAAGACCGGCTACGTCGCCACATGCGATTCTGTAACGTAGTTCTTACTTTTAATTGACTTTCAAGAGGTGATAAATCTCACTTTGCTTTTATCTGACGTTCAAATAAATAGTGTAGTATATTATCATAATAGTAATCCTGTCCTAATTGGTGACCGACAAAAAAGCATAATTAAATTTAATTTAAACAATAAAACACTAAACTAACTAATTAAATAAAACTTGTGTGCAATTCACACGTGGTAGAAGTGAAACCTTAAAATTTTTTGGGTTCAAGATTAATTTAGTTTTAATTTTTAAGTTCCATATCAATTATTAATTTTGATAAAAACTACAATCATTAAAAAAGTTTTTATAATCAATAATATGTAAATTAGACTTATTTTCACTATGTAAATTTAGTATTAGACTTTTCTGTAAATTTAATTTTTAATTTTTAAGTTTAATATTAATCTTTAATTTTGATAAAAACTTAAAGTTTTGAAAGTCGATCAAACGAAAGAAGCGACAGTAAAAAGAGACAGAAATCATAAGATTTATCGTCTAATTTTCTCCCACGTTACATCTTATAAATTGATGTGTCTCTTTTAACAGTCGCTTTTTGTTTCATCGACTTTCAAATCACAACGATGCTAAAGAAGTTTTCACTTCAAAATTCACACACGGAACAAAAAACAAATAAAAAATTAATAAGGAAAAACAAGCTAAAGAATTACTTCATAAAACATTAACTAAGTACTAATAGTACTTTTGTCAGTTTATTCAACGGACAATAAAAAAGGTTCGTTAACTTATTTAATTTGTAAACTACAGCAAATCATGTGCCTTTATCATCTTATTTTTATTTATTTCTATCTATTATTGTCATGCAGATAACAAACTTACCACCCAACAATAATAGGAGAAAGTAAACACTTACATCTGTATGAGAATATTCATAACCATCTGGATTATAAACTGGCAAAATGACCCAGTCTATGTTCTCTAATAGATCTCTATCTTCAACCCTTAAATCTTCCACCAGCCTGTGTATGGTGTAGAGAGCCACTGGAGGAGTCGACCACTCTCTGGAGTGCATCGCTGCGTCCATGAAGTATATTGGCTTGTTTCTATCTTCGAAGTTCGTTGTTGATATCTAGAACGTGTATCTTGCTATCACGATCAAAGTATATTTTTTCTATAGACCTCTAGAAGTCAATTAAAAATCTCTATAATTCATCAAAACTAAATCAGTCTACTAATATTTTAACTAAAGTGTTCTGTCTCTTTTTATCACAACCTAAATACAATTAGATAGAGACGAGGAAACTTTGGAACAGTGCAATAAGATTTGGTTTTTTATGGATTGTAGGTTGATAAGCATGTCCAAGAACGCTCCCTGACTTTAATTCTGATAGCGAAACTGATTCCGACGATAATTACAGAATAAATTATTCAGGTTAAACTTTAAAAACGCATTTTTCGTCTTTAACATTTCTAGGGTTGTTAATTTATTAAAATAATCAGTCTAAAGTTTTCTTTAAAATTAATATAGATTTTAGTACCTGTATTTCAATGTTTGTGTATGTTTTTGTCTATATATAGTCTATTATATAGTATTATTACAACAAGCCATACCAATATCAAACAAATTAATACGTTCCTGCTTCGGAATGGTAATTAGAATTCATAATTTATTACTGATTACAAAGTATTTAAAATTACGGTCGCTTTTCAATGTAAATCCAACGATTTTATCACATTATATTTTTTTAAGGTCCTTAGAGGTAAAATATGTAATGCGGAAATGTTGGAGAGACTGGGGCTACGCGTGCCAAATAACCACAGTGGCGTGGTAAGCGGTCGCAATTGCTGGCTGTGCCTCGGGCGCGTACCAACTTACTCAGAGAAGCACCATTTACGCGTGTCTTGCGCACCCTAAACACTATTGTTTGTGAGACGGATATATTTAGTTGCACACTGGTTGAATTCACAAGAATTGCATTATTTATAATTAGTTATAAAATGGTTAAGGTTTTAAGTTTTTACTTGTTATGTTTATAGTTTAGTTTTCTATTGTATTAGTATTAAGTTACTGTAAACATAGGAAATAAGGAAAATAAATAAATTTTGGCAGCCTTTATATGCAAGATTATGGTTGACTTATGTACCTTACTAGCTCCGATTTCTGGCAAAATATTAAGTTATGGGTTTCACACATCTAACATATGCCCCATTTATATTGGAATTTAAAAGCTAAATGATAATACCTTCACGTATTTAATAGGTCGTCCCTCAAAACTGTTGCCAGCATTCACTACAGTCACAATATTCGGATACTCTTGCCCCAATCGGTCAAGGTACGCCTCGATCTGGAATTAATAAATGATTAAATGTAACATAATTTTAATATACCTTCTTAGATTTTAATAAACCAGAAATCTGTCCCGGCAAGGCACGGCATTTATTTTGTAAAATATTTCTTTTTCAGTCGCTTAATTTCTGAAGATCGTGTGATTTCCGCTCAATTTCCGTAAAATATTTAGGAAATAAATATAGCCTGGGGATAATATTGCATTCGAATGGCGAATTTTATTAAATTGGACCAGTTATTTGAGTTTATTCGTTAAATTTTTTTAATAAAAAAAAAAAAAAAAATAAAAAAAAAAAAAAAAAAAAAAATTATATTAAAAAAAAAAAACACAAAAAAAAAAGGGGGGGGGGAGGGGCGGACGGGGAAATATTTGGGGTGGGGGAAGAAAAAAAAAAAATTTTTTTTTTTTTTTTTTTTTTTTTAAAAAATAGCATATTTTTTATAAAGAAACTTACATCTGCATATCGAGCATAGCTATTATATGGTGCTGCAGCGGCATTATTCCTGATCATTTTCCACTGTTCAAAATTTTCATCAAACTCTTCGAGCGCTCTAAAACAAATAAAAATAGATTAATATAATTCATAGATTTTTGCTATCTAAAAATTAAATAAATCAATGGCGCTACAACCTTTTTAGGTCTGGGCCTCAGATTTCTGTATCTGTTTCATGATTTGTCAGTCTAATAGGCAAGTAGGTGATCAGCCTTCTGTGTCTGACGCACGTCCTCGACTTTTTGGGTCTAAGGCAAGCCGGTTTCCTCACGATGTTTTCCTTTACTCTTCGAGGGAATGTTAAAGGTGCACATAGAAAGGAAATCCATTGGTGCACACACAGATCGACCTACGACCTCAGAGTTGAGGGTCGCACGCTGAAACCACTAGGCCAACACTGCTCCTTTTGCTATTTAGTTACGAAAATTAAAATCACGTCTGCCTAAAACGTGGACTTATCATTTGTCTCGGCATTGTATTTAAATGAGAACTAATAATCAAACGTGATCCATGCTTGTTAACTCTTCCTTGCTGAATAACGACTCTGATACGCTGTGCGTGAATGCCCAGTTTACTGTCACTGACATTTTGGAATTTTGCAGAAGAACAATTCTTACGAGTGATTGTAAAACCTTTTATACTATCAACATAGAACTAAGGTACGTAGTACATAAAAAATCAATCAATCAAAAATCAAAATACGTTTATTCAATTTATATGCTTCTTAGAGCATGCTTATGAATGTCAACAACGTTTACAAAATTCACGAAAGAGCAAGACTACGCCATCCGTTCGCAAAACTACCAGGAGGCTTTGTTCTGAGAAGAACGGGCAAGAAACTCAGCAAGTTTTGCCCTCCCTTTACATTACAATTATTCAAAGGAAAATGTCATAAACCACAACGTCATTAAAGTTACATAAGTAAAAAAAATAAAAATCTGTTCTGTGATTTACCACATTCACCATTACACACATATTCATAACACTTCAAAGATAACCAATCAAATTATAAGAATATAATTAGAACTATTGTAAAGCGTTTTTATCTTCCAGGTAGTCATTGACTGTGTAGTAACCTTTACACATTAAGGTTTTTTGATAGTGTTTTGAATCTGTTTAAAGGAGTTCCAATATTTCACTAGGAATCATGTTATAGCAGCGTATACTTAGGCCCATAAATGAAGTATTTATTTTCTGCAACCTGTAAGACGGCTGGAAAAGTTTTCCCTTATTTCTTGTATTCCTATTGTGAATGTCACTGTTCTTTATATCATAACATACATACATCTGGTAATACAATACCAGATAGCAATAATTGTACAGCATTAGATTTTTTTATCTAACAGAAGGCAAACCTCCTGGGTTCACCTGATGTTAAGTGATACCGCCGCGCCCCGCCCATGGACACTCACATGGCCAGAAAGCCGGGGCGATGCAAGCCCTTTAAGAATTGGTACTATCTTTTCTTGAAGTGTTACAATTGGTTCCGAAATACTTCAATGGGCTGCTGGTTCCACATAGTATGGTGCGCGGCAAATATTGCCTTAAATAAATAATAGTTTAAAAAAACTAGAACACACGCTTTTAAAGCACATCAAACTAAAAAGTGAAAAATAATTCCTCGATAGACGAAAAATATGGCACAGAGCGCCCCACGCTTTTTCACAATAATACCAGTATTTTTTGTTCATTACCATTTTCAGCCTAAATTATGAATTATTTTTCACTTTTTAGTTTGATGTGCTTTAAAAGCGTGTGTTCTAGTTTTTTGAAACTATTATTTATTTTTTAGTTTATTTTTTTTATTTTTTTCATTTCTTATTTTCGGATTATTGCATTGTCATCGATCTTTGACAGGTGCGCAAAGTTTGAATTAAATCTGTCCGGTAAAAGTGGGTCAAAATCGAGTCCGAAGGAAGGAGTCGGTTACATACATGCATACATACATACAGGTGAAGCTAATATAAAGCGTGTAAAAACGATGTTGTGGAACGACGGACGTCGAGGTGAAACGGATGGTATTTTGTATTCTGCCTTGACGTCCGATGATGAAACTTATTGAAAATAATAATGAAACAAAATGATATTTGGTACAACTCATTTCAAAGCTGTAGAATTGTTGTCTTAGCTAGTAGCATTTACAGGTGATTTATTTTTAGTTGTTCTTTTTTTGCAAGCCAGAGAACTACGCTTTATTGTTGGTGCGAGAATCTGAACATCAATGTGAGAGTCGTAAACTGTATGATCTCGTAAAGTCAAAGTCGACCATGAAAGGGTCATAAAGAGAGTTAACTCTTGTTTATGGCTCTTACGAGAAATACAACTATGTTTTCAATTAATTAGTAAAGGTACACTGCCACAGGGACCAAAGTTTTGAAATTTGTTTTAACTTTCTATTTATTATTTTTTAATTAATATTATTAGGTTAAGAATATTGTAAATACTATAGATTTGTATGTTAGAAATAAATAATAAACGTGTAACAATATAAAAATAATAAGTAAATAAAGGGGTTTCATATGAAGAAAATTTTGATTTACCAAAAATTTAAATTTTAGCTAACACCAAAAGGCAAAATCAATATCTCTGAGGGTAGTTTTATAATAGTATTAGTAGAAATAACAAACTTAATGATTGAGGAATAACGAAAACCGTAATTTAAACTACGTTTAATGTTACGTTTGGGATTTTCAGTTGGTCCATTTAATCTTTGGACTAAATTACACCCATATTTATTCAAAGATTGCTTAGATACAGTTTAGTAAAAATCCCTTGAACAACTTATGTAACGATTCTAACAACAGACAAATACCGCGATTCAAGGTAACACAGCGACATATATTGGTTAAACAACACATTTAATCTTAATTGAATCATGTAGCTTATCGTAACTGAAAACGACTATTCCAATTCATATCTCAAGCGACTAATTTCGAGTACGGACAAATATTCATATGACAATATAATTTCTTGAAACAACATTTTATTCTGATTCAAGAATACAGTGCAATCGAATATTACAGATAGCTTTGAAGACGTTGTAGAAATAAAATTCTTGTTTAATTTTTATATTAAGCAATATTACGATAGATTGGTTGCGCGTTATAGGCTTTGTAGGAGCATTCTTGCTTAACGCGCTTGTATGACCCCATATAACGCGTTATGTACCAATGATTCACATTTAACTTTTCTCGTTAAACGGGATTTTAGGCGGAAAATTAAGAAAAAACTATGTGAAGAACGAAATATGTGCGTACATATCATTAAAAATTTCAGTACTAAATATACGTAATATCAGTACAGAAATATAACGTGTGAAATTACCGCGTTATATGGGGGAATACCCGTGTTATACGAGGTACTGCAATCGCATAATATGAAAAAAATTTACTACATACCTATATACATTATCTCGTTCAACATAATGCCGGAGACCACGTTTGTCCAGGGCATTCAAAAACTGGTCTTTCAATGCTGGTTTGACCATTATACTGGCGTCTCTTCCTCCAACCATACCAACACTCCAAACATCCAGGTCCAACTCCACCTGGAGCTGAGTGAGGAAGGCTATATCATCTTGGTTCCGAAGTCCCACACCGTGAACTGTGTAACTGAAAATTGACTGAATTAGACCATAAACTAGATGTTTTAATTTTAATCTTTCGATGGATAAGAGTGTTTCACAGTGTTGGCCGTGTTGGCCTAGTGGCTTCACGCGTCACTTCAGCGTGCGACTCTTATCCCTGGAGGTCGTAGGTTCGATCCCTGGCCACCAATGGACTGTGAAAGTGCGCATTTAACATTTGCTTCAACGATGAAGGAAAACGTGAGGAAACCGGCTTGCCTTAGACCCAAAAAGTCGACGGCATGTGTCAGGCACAGGAGGCTAATCACCTACCTGCCTCTTAGATTGACAAACAATCACGAAACAAATACAGAAATCTGAGGCCGAGACCTAAAACGGTGCCACTGATTTCTTATGAGTGTTTCACAACAGTGTTGATAATGAAATTTATGTTGCTCGATAAAGTGATTGTATTTTGTATTTCTTTTTCATATGTAGCTGTAATCAAACAAATATGTTCCTTTCTTCTCTATTACAATTAATCTAAAGTAATTACAATTGTTGTGAACGATTTCGAGAGTAAAAAATACTTGAAGTGTGCCGATGTTTGTTACTTGTCATGGAACGTAGCTTCAACATTTCTTTTCGAATTTTTACATGTATAATATACTCACCCAATATATTGTTCATGTTTCGCAGACACAAAATTAATAAAAAACAATATTAAAAAAACCCTGCCGTCCATTCTAGCCGGCCCCATTCTCTATCAATGAGTTGATAAACACATGTTATCAAACACTAATCTTTGAAATCTGTACTCTTTGAAGATTAGAATTAGAATTACTTACCAATAAGTATCACAATATAGCGAGGAAATGTACAATGTTAAGGTACACTGCCACAGAGACGAAACATTGAAATTTGTTTTAATTTTCTATTTATCAGTTTTTAATTATTAATATTACTTAGGTTAATAATACTGTAAATGTCGTCCCCGTAGAGCGAAAACTAATTAAGCCAAAAAAATTGCCAAAACGAGTTATCTATGCCATTAAAATTAAATTTTTTTTCTTTATTTGTCTAACCGTCAATTTTGTATGTATCATAGTTTCCGATTTACAAAAAGTGAAAATTAAATAAATCTATTCTTTGGTACTAATAGAAAATAAGAGAAATAACTAAATCATGTTAACTATTTTTTATTTATCAAAAACTTACATAGCTTATAAAAATAAATGATTTAATTTCTTTATTTTTAATTTTTTAATCCATTCCCTATGGATATAAGATTGGTGGAGAAGATTTTTTTATATAAAAGTAGTTTGATTTAATACTATTATACAACAAAATACCTTTTAACTATTAAGTTTAAAAAAAGTTTTTTTTCATTATGTATATTTTGTATATCTACCAGATAGTCGTAAATTACCCAACTCAAGTTATTTATCATAAAAATAAACTCGATCTGAGTGAAAAATCACTAACTAGGGGCGAATATTAACTTATTCATAACTACATCGGATATTCTACAGAGAAGAAATAACTAATTGTTATTTTTTAGGTTTTCTCAGTAATAACTTAATCATACTTTGGGTAGCTAGCATCATTTTCAGGCAAGACAATTCAAGGCAGTTTTTGCCGCGCACCACCACTATGTGGAACCAGCTGCCCACTGAAGTATTCCCGAACCAATTCGACTTAGGGTCCTTCAAGAAAAGAGCTTACCAATTCTTAAAAGGCCGGCAACGCACTCGCGAGCCCTCTGGCATTGAGAGTGTCCATGGGCGGCGGTATCACTTAACATCAGGTGAGCCTCCTGCCCGTTTGCCCCCCGTTCTATATAAAAAAAAAAAATTTTAACATATTTTGATTTCCTTCAAAATGAAACAAAAAACATTAAAATATGTCATGACATGCTAAAGTTATGGCAATTTATATATTTCAAAACTTCAACCCTCATTATCTCGAAACAGGTTTTTTGGACTTAATGAATTTTCGCTCTACGGGGACGATGTATACTTATCTTGAAGCTAATCTGTTATATATTCAAAGATATTGGATAGAAATGACAATTCAAAATCTATGTTGCACGTTTGTAACGATCTTTTCCAAATGTTCAATGTAAAATAAGGTTAAATAATAAAAAAATACTACAATAAAATCAATATCGTTTCAATAACATGCTTGCGCCCTGTGGTTAATAAAGGCATACAAGTATTGGCAAAAGTTAATTTGGCCGAACATTACCATTCCTAACTCGATCGAGGTCAACGACTTTACATATTAAATAAGGGTATGTACACGAACAAAATTGAAAAAAAAAATACGCACAATGTAGTAGAAAATGTTCATGCTTGATACTGGAGCCCTCCAAAGCAACGGTATTTCCTCAAGACTTTGTTATGTAGACTTCTGCGTTAGATAACTTTTCAACCGCATGAAAATGAGGGTAGACTTGAGAATAAAACTAAATGTACCCTCGTATTTTTGGAATGAGTAACTTGGATGCAGGCACTCCTCATCTGTTTCACTAATCATTGCTTGCATAATCAGCAGACTTTTCTCAGGGTTTGGAGAACAAAGAACATATGGTTGTATCAAAATGTCAGAGACCTCAATTGTAATATTCAAAGTTTTCTAATGATGTAATCGTAATAACTGAGACGAGGGTTTTGTTAGTGTGTTCGACTCTGAAATCTTGGACAATAGATATACAGACGCGACCGCAAAATCTGTCCCCTACAAACTTATATATCTTGTGCAGATATATATCTCATTGCTTTTTTCAAGTCGCTTATTTCTATAACCTTTGATAGTTAACTCAACTTAGTTTTTAAGTGTAGGTGGCAATAATTCAGTGGGTTCCATACGTGAATTAGAGGCGAACATCATAACAAAAAAGTCAGCCTTATATTTTGCGGTTTGAGCAAGGGAGCCATCAGTTCTTAGTAATGACAGGGTGACAGAAGTTCAATTCGATTGCTTTGGCAAGAGACCAAACGGCTTTACTTCCAGAAGGATACCAAGCAAGTTTGTTCCCAACACGCCTGATGTGATCAAATCTGCCCTTACGACTTAGCAGCTACATTAAAAAGTTTATTTTTGAGTCGCAAGTCGGAGGCTTTACGGGCTCGAGCATCCGCCTTAATAAGCAGCTTCTTTGTTTTTAACAGCCACAATACACGGGGCAATGAACCGAGTCGACCTTTGTAATCAAGTGAAACGTAAACTTTCTATAACTTGTCGTCCAAGATAAAAGAGCTTGACATACTCATTGTCCAGTTTCCGGTCCAAATTGAGGCTGTACTTGTCATATTGCTTATTCTTATGTTTTATATCCTGTATGTTTATTTAGTAATTGTATGTCTTTGTTTTAGATAGCTAAGCTAGATTAATTATATTTGTTAATGCTGATTATCCACAACTGGGTGCGCCATTACGTTAATCTTTAGAACATACATAAATCTGAATGGCATCTGTGAACGTATTAAATAATAATAATATAGCTTTATTTTATTCTGTAAAAATGTCAACACATATGACACAAGACATTATTATCAGTAAAGCATTCTACAATTCTCTATGTTTTGCTATCTCCAGCGATCTTTCCTCCGCCATCAGCGCAATTTCGTCTGTCCATCTGGCACAAGGCCGGCTTCTTGATCTTGTGCGTCTTGGCCCCTACAATTTTACCAGTCTTTGTGTCCACCTGTCGTCGCTGTACATATATCTTATGTAAACAAGTAAATACAAATTCTTATAAAAAAACAAGAACGCGCTCGTGGTACTTCTGATATTGCGAGTGTTCAATGGCGGCGAAATGTAACGTAATTAGAATTTTAAAGTTTAACTATTTTTACTAAAAGCGCTATAAAAAATATTTACAATAATTAATTTACCATATAATTTAGATAATAATACATATTAGTGCTAATCTTGAACCAGTCATATCTACTTTGATTTAATCAATGTTACCAATCGATATTCAATACAATATCCAAAAGTGTAAGTCAAATTAATTTTCATTTAACATATTCATTGGTAAAATTTATTATATGCTCTTCCTACAAAAACTGTATATTGTATTTGATAGTGACTTTTGATAGTAACATATGCAAAATTAGTAGGAATCAGGTTACTTTACCGAACTGTAAGAATCTTCTTAATGATTCACTTGTTTAATAACCAGTGTTGGCGTTGAAGAAGTCACCACCAACAGTTTTAAAATTATATAACTATTTAAAGATATAATTTAAACGATTGACAAGTAGAATATACAAGGCAACCGTGGATGGTGATGTCGGGTTGGGAAGGCCTTGTCACACATTACATTCCTGGACCAAATCCAGGAGGTACTAGAGAAGAGAGACGGTATAAGTAAATTAGATGAGCATGCATGTGAATGCCATGGATGAAGCGAGAGAGGTATGTCAGTAGCAAGTGGAGATCCGTGGTCTCTTACTGATATAAATAAATAAAAATAATTAAATGTATGTATGTATGTATGTACTTATTTAACTATGTATTGAATCTCTCTTTAATCGGCAGCGTCTGAGCGTCGTGGTCAGCAACGAAGCATCTAGAGCGGACAATCTGTTTCCACCGGTTTCTGTCCAGCGCTTCTCTTATGGCAGTGTACATTTTTGTGGACGATGAGTGAAGGTCGGTCCATCTTCATCAACATTTGGACGTTCACCAACCAGAACACAATTTTTTTTTTAAATATTTTTATTTATGTATTATAATAAGATAGTCAAAATTGTGATTTTAATAGTGTATTTGTATACGCCCAACTCAAATTTACAGTACCAAAATTTTTTTTAACATAAAATTAATTTGTGATTTACTAAATTGAAAATAAGTTTAATATGCAGAATTCTCTGGTAAATTTAGGTTGATCCCCGCTCTCACATCCGTCACTGCACGAGCCAAAATAATCCAATCCATCCGCACCACCTTTCTGGCTGGAAATCTTCCAGAGTTTACAAAACATTTCCTTCAGTGAACCAGTGAGTGGAAAACCTTTCAAGGACGTTGGAACAGCGTTGGACTTTTAAGAAATAGCTTTAGTGTTTGAGGTACACCAAATGAAAACCATAACATAATTCACTATCTTTTTGTCCTCTGACTTACATGGCGGTTATAGGGCGACTGATTGATCCACGTGCAAGTGGAATTACGAAAAAGGGTAGACAATATTACAAATACAATTGCGAAATTTCTAAACAATAATTACACCACTACATAACCCCCTTCTTAAAAAAAAAAAAATGAGTAGATACATATAAACACAAAAACTAAAATTTGACTACTGCAACTTTTAAATAAAACTATGACAAAGTGTAAATGTAATAACTATATACGTAGTATAAATGAATTCCATATTTTTCTTTTTAATCTAAATACAAATTGGTTTTGCAATTAGCTGAACAATCGCTAAATTTGCAATTACCTACTTACTAAGTATGTTGCTTACAAATCAAAACATAAACCTAACGGGTTGCTTAACACTTCTACCACTACGCGTAATTTTTAAAGGTTCATTAACCTGTTATGTGATCTAAGTTTCCGCTAACCTGGTTGCTATTAAACTCATCTAGTATGTACGCTGGCTTTACACGGTCTATTGAAACATAAGAAATTTTATCATTTATTGCGATCTTAAATTCTTTGTATTCCTTTCCAATACCTTGTAGGGTCCGCAATGGTGGTACTAAAGGTTTCCGTACTGCGTTACTCAAGAAAACATGTGAACAGGAA